TGCACAGGGGAGAGGAGATAGAACCCGAAAGACATTTTAGTCAGGACAGGGGAGAGAGTATTTCATGGACTACAGGGCATTTGCTTGTTTGTTCTTAATTCATAAATGAATTTACTAGGAATTGATATGTTTACCATGACTAAGTATCATATTAAATTTAGACTTATGTAACATGGTATGCATTTCATTAATAATTGGATAAATATGAGTAATGGCTTAGCAAAATGAACATAATATTAAATTGATTATCTAAAAATGTGTCGTTAGATAGCTCACAACATATACCCACCCAGGTCAACAATGATGCTCGTTCATTTTCCTGCTCTGAACTGAGGTTTTGCAACTGGATGTATGAGCACATGTTGCTTACTTATAATAGAAACAGAAAAGACTACTCTAAGGGCACCAAGCCAAGTCCTTTCCTAGCAGGCCTGCATATGACTCTGTTACAATTACAATTGTGGTTATGATTGTAATTATGATTTGTGTCTCAGAACACAGAATGAATTTGCATAGCTTTAAATGGAAGATGAGAAGTGTCTATTTTTTCCTCTGCAAATAGCTCTGTATAGCCTATTGTTCTGTGAATCACAACATTCCCTAATTCATTTGAATATCTCCACAGCCAATATGAAAGAGGGAGCAGAAATACTATAATAGTTGGAATATTTGATACAAGGTAAAATATGTATGTGTACATATAGGAATATAGGGGAACAAAATAGAGTCGCTATTATTTGTCTTAATCACTGCTCATTGGAATATACAATTCTAAAAAATTTACTGATTTATGAGAGAGAGAGAAAGAACTATTACAAACACAGTATCACAGAAGCATCAATTATATCATGTATTTAAGTTAACAGGGGTAGGGAAGATTAAGCCATATCAATCATATGTTATTAAATTACCTAATTACTTATAATTGGTGGACAAAACAGATGTTCAAACCAATAAACTAGACAAGAACACAGAAAGCTGAAAAGAAAGTAAAAAAATATGATAATACTAAAGAAGAAGGTTAGCAAACCCAGAGTGATTAGCCTGAAAGAGAGTGATGATTTTTATGCTGAGTTATGAATTTAAAACTTAGAAATTTAAAAATGTAAAATTGTATGGAAAGAACATTTTATAATAAATCATTAAATTTGTACACTGGTTATTATTATACCATCTCTGTGATCTAACATCACATTATTCTAACATATTTCATGGGTCAATGAAATAAATGCACCCTAGAGTTCAGCAGGTACTACCAATGAGAAATCTGGCCAGAACAATGTGTCTTCTACAAAGACATGAGTCCACTTCTCACTGTGTTCTGTATACAAAGTGCTCTCTTTTTCAAGCACTTGTGCATGTTTTCTACTCTTAAATATTTGTGAATTTATTACTTATTTTCTCACCATAGGATCATAGATCAAGATAAATATTCTTCTACTCTGTGGAAGGTAAATGTATGAACCCATGGTAAATAAAACACTTGTTCCAGTCTGTAGAGAAAATATAGCAAGTTGGAAGACTGAAGCAAAATTAAGAATTTATTTTCAGGTAAATGTGGCAGTTACCATTTAGCTCAAGCCAACAATCACTAAGTGAAAATTAGAGCATTATGTTGAGACATCTTTCTGATTTACAAGAGGAGTAGGATACGGGGATTTTCATGGAAAATTAAACCTTGGGTCAGAAAAAAGTTCCATTCTAAGGACAAAAGCAACAATAGTCAACCAGAGACTCTGTCATCTCTCAGATATTGTTGACTCCTCATTTTTCTAATTAACTTCAACTGAAAAATTACATACTGAATTTAATTATAGCTATTCAAACATCTCATGCCAATAAGCTATCATTTTGTCAAGATAGAATTGGTTTGGGTTCCTTTCAACCATGCCATTCCTAACACCATATTTCTAAACACAGACATATTTACTTCACATGCTGAAGAAAAGTGTTCTGAAAAAGAAGAGTTATTCCCTGTCAGGGCCCTGACACCATCTTTTAGCTGTTGACAAAACCATCCAAAGTTATCCAAAGCCATATGACTTTTTTAGAAGTACTTTCTAGAAACATACTCTAATGCACTGCTTGGTTTTGATCTCAATGATGTGCACTCAGAAATAAATGCTTCTCATTGGAGTGGTCATTATTACCACAATGCATTCAATTTCTGGTTCCTGGGGACAGGATCAGGAAGACAAATAGAGCAGCTTCTCAGTGAGAAATCAAACAAGCACTTTCACAAGGTCACAGGCTGCATCACTCTTTCAATCAGCCAAACATACATGGAGCATCTACCATATCTGGGACATAGTGTCATTAGTGACCATTGCTGGTGTGGCCTCTACTGTCATGGAGTTTCTTTTGGTTGGAGAACTACACAGGAAATCATTAATTAAACCATTAATTTGTTAGACTAAAATTATAATAAACACAAAAGAAGAATATAGAAGGATATGGAGACATGTACCTGAGGTCTCTGACCTATTATTTTTTAGATCAAGAAAGACTTCCTGATAGGAAATATGACTGAGCTGAGTTCTGAAGCATGAGTGGAGAGAAGGGTTGTGGGAAGCGAAACGGTGACAATGTCAATAGGTGGAATGTGGCAGCAAATTCAGGAGTCTGGGAAGAATTAACTCAGTATTGACCTCCAGAAGAGGACTGAGGGAAAATATGCTGGAAGAACAAATCTTCCTGTTTATGTCTTTCTACAGATAACTTTTAATAACAAGAACATAGTTACATTTTGCTTTATTTAAAAATAAAAAGAAGTGGCACAAAAAGGTGCCTACATTATTACCATAAAGGAATTTCAAATTAAAACCACAATTATATATTGTCTTACACTTGTTAGAATGGGTGTTATCAAAAAAGACAAAAGATAAATGTTGGGGAAAATGTGGAAAAAAGCGAACCCTTGTACACTACTGGTGAGAACATAAGTTGATTAGGGAAAACACTATGCGATTCTTTAAAAAGCTTAAAAATGAAGCTATGAGCTGATGAAGTGTCATATCCAAAGCAGATGAAATGAGTGGATCAGAGATACCTCCAGTCCCATGTTTACTACAGCATTACTCATGATCGCTAAGATATAGAATCAAACAAAGAGTCCACTGATGAATTAATGAAGAAAATACATAGATGCATAACAGGAACAATACTGAGTCACAAAAGAGTGAAATCCCATTATTTGTGAGAACATGGATGGAGCTGTAGGACATTATGAAGTACAAGTCATATCACACGACCTCATTCCTACGTGAAAGCTGAAAGAGTTGATTTCATAGAAGTAGAAAGAACAATGGTCTCTAGAGACTAGGAAGGCTAGTGGCAATGGGGATTGGGTAATGGACACAAAAATCCAATCAGGTAGGAAAAAGCAGTTCTAGTATTGTACAGCAAAGAAGGGGAAGTATAGTTTGCAATAGTGAGTTATGTATTTGGTAAAAGAAAATGTGTTACATACACTTGATGAATGTTATCCAACTACAAAACATATAGAAATCCTGCCATTTATAGCAATGTGGATGAATTCTAAGGACGAGACACAGGACAAAAAAGACTCATTCATATACAGAATCAAGAAACGTCAAACACGTAGAAGCAGAGAGTAGAATGATGGTAGCCAGGGGCTGAATGTGTGTGTGTATATGTGTGTGCGAGCGCGTGTCTATGTGTGTGCGTGTGCGTGTGTGTGTGTGTGTGTGTGTGTGTGTAGGGACAACAGTGGAGAATTTAGTCAAAAGGTACAGAATTTCAGCTACAAGATGACTAAGTTGTGGGGATCTAACATGCAAAATGGTGACCATGGTTAATAATACTAACACAAGAATCTCAAACTAGCAAAATTGCCATTATTTTCTTATCTTTTATGTATTTTCTTCTACAAAATCAGAGAATAGGAGGGCCTAAAGGGGAATGGTGTTGGCACCAGGGGGAGGGGAAAAAGGGTAGGAAGGAGAAGAGGAGGTGGCGGGCCAAAGGGTAGGAGGGTGAATATGGTGCAAGTAATGTATACACATGCATGTAAATGCAAAAATGACACCTGTTGAAACTGTTCCAGGAATGGGGGAAAGGGCATGAAGGAGAGTGGTGGAGGGGGTGAATTAAAGTAGGATATATTTGATACATTGTAAGAACTTTTGTAAATACCCCAATTTACCCCAACCCAGCACAACAAAAATATAAAAAAAGAAGAAAAAAAAATACTGTTTTGTACACACACACACACACACACACACACACACGGTAAAGGCAACTATGTGAGGTGATGCATGTGTTAATTAGCTTGGTTGTGGTAACTGTTTCACAGTATGTGTGTATATCAAATTATCATTGTGTTTTGAATGAGTCACTGGTATCTGGAGATGTGAATCTGGTCCATCAAAGAACAGATGAAAGGATTTATTAGGCCTTGTGAAGTGCCCAGAGCAGACTGATGAATCCAAAAAATTCATTGGTAGAGACCTGAGGTCCCAGCTTCTCATTTGAGTCTTGCCGGGATTCTTGGGGCCTCTCAGGCTCCTTGAAATTCATTGCCTCATGCTTGCTGCAGGTGTGCTTCCCTGAGGAAGCACCCGGACATCATGTTATTTTGGAGCTTACAAATGCAGAGTATCTGACTAGGGAATAACATATTTCCTCTCCAGGTAGTCAGTAACATATGGAGTGCAATGGGACCATGCCTGTCACCTCCAAATAATTCATGTCTTCTAGAAGAATATTTTTATAAGATTTAATACAGCAACAAAATTTTTCATTGATCTGAACTGCTGAAATTCTCTAGTCTATGTGCATTCACTCATCAAATTTAACAAATTCCTTACAGGGCATTAAAGGAATTCCAGGTCCTGGAGTTAAAAAAAAAAAAAACCTGTCCCTGGCTTCTCAACCACAAATCTGGGCAAATCTAGTGCTTGGAGGCTGTGGATTTCCTTGTACAAAATAAAAGTCAAAGATCTTGCTGGGTGATTCTTAAAAAGGGCTTTGTACTGCACCTGCAGGCAGGCTGGGGCGCGTCCCTGGGGCTTGTTGACATCCACAGCTACCAGCTGCCAACCACCAGCAGCATCTTCATGAAACATCTTCAAGACAAAGAGGGAGATGAGTCAGAGTCATTTAACATGGAGCATCAAAAACTCTTTCCCTATGTCTCCAGCTTTCTATATTTTTTACGTTATCAAGAATTTGTCTTTTTATGGATTTATATTTGGAACATGAATCACTTCAATTATGTTCATTTTAACACTGAAAACTTAAGTGAATCATCATAATCATAAGAGCAATGACAATAACTTGCATGTATTGAGTACTTGTTATGTGACAGGTAACATCTACCTTACACAGACTTTACAAGAGAAATGCTTTAGTATTTTACCCCCATTACAGTGATTATCATTTATGACATCTGAGAGAAAATGCACATTAGAATTCTAACTCATTGTGTCTTTTGCATTTTTAGCATAGGTAGACTTTTTCTTTCTGTAGCTCTCACTAAGCTAATTAACAACCATTCTCAGACCAGTAATACCAGAAGATGTGTATGGCATGGGAAATTGGCTGTGTTACTTTAATGGTGGGACACTGACATATTACCTTATTGACCTTGAGCACTTATTTTAACTAGGCCACAACCAATCTGCTCAACAGAAATTTCATGTATATATTTATGAAGGGAAAAGTAGTTTATTTTGGCTTAGAAGATGTAAATTATAAAATTCAAGACACCACAAACCTTCTAAAATCTGAAATCCACTGCCTTGAATAGCTAGGTGATTATTTTACTGCATATTCCACTACAACAAAAATTACCTATCCACCAATATTATACCCAGTTGGAAGACATTTCCTACTTATTAGAATTTTCCCACTAGCATATTTTCTTCAAGATTTCTGAGGAGTGTGTGTGTGTGTGTTTATGTGTGTGCATGTCTCCCAGAGTGTGCATGTTTTTGATGTGTGTGTGCTTGTGTGCAAATGTATATGTATGCATTTGTTGTGATATGTGTGTGCATAGGTGTGTATGTGTTGGTGCATTATGTGTGTGTGCATGTGTATATATGTGTGTATGTGTGTGCTTGTGGGTGTATGCATTTATTTGTGTGGGGGAGTGATGGCTGTCATGGGATAGGGTGAAAAAAAGTTTTAAGTTTTTCTGAGTAAAGACATTAACTTCAAGAATCCACTGTTTCATTCTTGCCGGTCATCTCTGTTTTGTACACATAAACATTACTTTGCCATCCTTATCTATACCCTAGTGTTAGTCTGATCTTGTATTGAGAGGCCAATTATTGATGGAAATCTGAATGGGATGGTGCCTGGGACATTATCTAGGATTTATAATCATAATTTCAAATTCTTGAACAGAGAAACAGTAGATCATTTCCAGAAAGGAAACTTGTCCTCTATATAATAAGTGAGGTAGTGAGAGACAAAACTCACAGATCTTATACTTTTTTTAAATAAAAAAAAAAAGGACTGGAAGTGTGGCTCAAGCAGTAGAGTGCCTTCTTTGCAAGCATGAAATCCTGACTCAAACCCCAGTCCCACCACAAACAAAACAAAAGAAAACATAACTGGATAAAATGAAAATTATGTGGTATACATTTACACAAAGATTCTTTGACCAACCCTGTCACTGCAAATAATTTATCTCCTTTGCCCATTTGCAAGGTCAGTTTCCCTTTAGAATGAATTTAAAAGACTATTCTTGGTGGTAGAATCAAGCTCATCCTTTGCAAATGGGCTCATTCTGAGAATACAGACATGGATGGAAATGCATACCTGCTTACAATGCCTTTTAAAGCCCCTGTCAGAATTCTGAGATTCTCCTTTTAAAGACAAAAGACAAAGCCACCCCTGTCAGTCACTAGTTGGGAACATTCTGTTGATACATCCTGTACTGTCTTGTCACAGCACAAAGCATTCCTGGGGCTTATATTTGCTTTGATGGTCATAGAAGAATAATTTTCTCTATTAAATTATTTTTCCAGCAGACCAAAATCAAATGAATCAATTTAACTGTCAGTAAAACAGTTCTCTGGAGGTCACTCCTTTTTACCAACTAAAGTAAAGGAAAATCACACAATTTCTCTCAGTTCCTGGTTTACAAAATATTTAGGTCGGTTCGTGGATCAGTAAGTCTGAGATAGAAGGTGGGCTGGCTAGCAGAAGTCAGGAGTCCTCAGAGACTTAATTCCTTGAGAAGCATATGGTGGGAACTGGCAGTGGTTCTTCTGTTCTCCATGCTTTCCAAGTCAGAGAGTTTTTATGGGAGCACTAAGCCTTCAAAAAAAAAAAAAAAACCCAAAAAGTAATTCTTGTTCTTTCCTGAAGCTTGTCTTGAACCACATATTAGCTTATAGGATGACAGTAAAAAAATCTCCTCCTTTCTGCTGTTTGGAATCAGATGTGAGAGTTCCAGCTACACCAGGTATCATAGCCCACAGGGTTACTTTGAGAAAGGAGTCTATGCAAGGTGGAACAGAAAGGTGCAAGGAGCCTGGCTCCCTGGCAATGTGGACCACCATTCCAACCCCAAATGCCTTCTTTTGACTTTCCTTGAGAGAGACCACAAATCCATCTGACCTAAGTTGCTTATTTTGAGCATTTGGACCCTTGCAGCCAGTGGCTTAGATAGAATATTCAGTGATTTCCTCTGTTTTAATTACCTTAACTTTTCCCTTCTTGTTATATCATTAAAGATATTTACTGCTAAAGACCTCGACAATGTGGATGAGAAATAAAAAAAATTTTAACTCATCTCCACTAACATTTTAAACTTACAAGTATTTTATATACACATATACACATACATACTCCATAAACACACATCCACAAGAGATTTTTTGTACTAATATGTTGTCAGCAAATTTTCATGTCAATAAAACTCAACCATTATGTAAATGGTTTGTATTTAAAGCAGTTTCATAACTTATAATCAATAACAAGTTAATACTAGAGATTCAGATTGTTTTCAATTTTATTTATCATTATACTTCCTAAACATTTTCAAATATAAATCTTTAACTGTTACTGAAAATTCTTAGGACAAATTCCTAGAAGTGGAATCACTTGATCTAATGGTACATATACTTTTTTAGCCCTTTGATATATATTGCAGAATATACTTCTTAATTTATATTCTTAATACCAATATACAAAAATATCCCTCTCAGACAACAGTAAGTACTGTCTTCTTAAGAGAAATTTAGCATATGGCTAGAGCAAAGACACTGTAGGACTGATAGGGCTTGAAATGGCTAAATTAAAATGTGGGTAGGCCCTCACAATGAATAAAACAGAAAGCTCTTGCAGTTGAGCAACCTGGTTTTGAGTCCCAGGTTATAAGTCAATGGGTATGATAATATTATTGTGAAAATTAAATAAGACAGGTTGTAAAATTATTGCACCATGCTCAGTGCCACTTTCAATGTATGTTAGTGATTTTGATGAGATGTTATGAATTAGTGGACTGTCACCCATCAGAACATGAAGGATTTACATGAGCGCCCTCCTTTTAGTATAATCACTTGGGAATCATGGAGATTTTAGCCTTAAGAATTATCTCAGGTTTGTCAGCTTGCAACTGGTAGAGTTTTGTAAAAGGTAACTTGGTTTATAAAATAGTTAAGAATGCTTTTGGTTCTTACAGGCAAAAACCTCACCATTATCATCAGGTTATATATTGGGAGATGGTGAGAGAAGGAATCATGGGAGGGGGAATCACTAAAGCTGAATTGAAATTCCAAACCCAACACAGACACAGACACAGACACAGACACACACACAGACACACACACACACACAATGTGGAGAAAATTTAATGTTTATTTTGAAATTCTTATGTTCTTTAAATTCTTTCAAAATCAATTATTTAAAAATAGGTAACAGTTATTAAAGAAAATAATGAGAGTGGACATCTGGCCTGATTTCATTATTAAATAATACATTTAATGACTCAGTCTCACTAAATTTAATTCTCACATATGGTTCCTATGACGAATGCATTCACTTTTCCTTCCAAGGCTTCTTACTGGAAGGGGCTCACTGTGGCACCACACTGGAACAGCCCATCCCTGAACTGCATTCATTAAATTGCTTTCTCACATATTTTGAATGGTGTATTTTCATGTGGAAACTAACGGCCTTGGAACACAGTAAACAGATTTTTCCTAAAGTACTATTATTGAGCATTAAGTTGTATAAAGTCTTTTATTTATTTTCTTTTTGGTGGAGAAATTCTTTCCATTTTTGCTCATGTCTTTTCATCTGTGCCTTTGTGCTTTTCCACTGAGCACTGCACATTTATAAAAGATTACTGTAGGCATATTCTGAGACTATAGATGGAACTGCAAAGGAAAACTTCCTGTTTCTTCATCATTTCTACTCTTATTGTTCTTATGAATTTTTCTGCATTAATAATCCAGAAAACACACTCCAGTGAGAGTGCTTAATCAAAGATAACAAATGCAGAAGTTATTGCTCTCTTTATATGCAGAACATTTATTTATCAAACCTCCAACAGGACCCCACTGGAGTATGCTTGTTTATAAAAGTTAGGTGTTCATTGACTGACAGAGCCTGCCCTGTGTCTTCTATCACTATGCATGACAGGAAAGTAGTCTTGGGTGTCCCTAAAGTTTAGCAGTTCTTTTAGTTCTACTCTGGGAAAAGCTGGAATAGGCTGTCTGTAGCTTGAGCCAGTGGGGTCTCAGGACTGATGGCAGGTGTCTAAAGTGAGGCGTCAAAAAATCAGAGTGAAGGTATGGATTAGAGATACTATGATCAGGAATTTGCCTACCAGCACATCTGCATGTCCTAACATCCAGTGCTGGGGTCACAGTTCTAAAAACTGTGGCTTGACCATTCCTATTGTGAGCCATCTTTGTGGTCACTAGGTCATCAGGGTATGAATCTCTTGACCTATAACTTAATCTGTCATTGATAATGTGACGTTATCTACATCTAGGAATTGTACGAGTGTCAAAGTCACAAGCTCCCTCAGAGTGCTGGCTAACTCAAAAATATGAATCTGAGGGCTTCTACACATCATTTTCTCTTTGTTTTTCTGTGATGTATTGTATTACGGTCTTCACAGGATCTTTGGCATTCATTTTTCTTTAATTTACTTCTGTGCTGAACTCAGAGGCACACGATGGTGGTTGACCATTCAGTTGAAAACAGTTGCTTTGATATTTTAAAGAAAAAGTTCTCATCACTGATTGCCTTTTACCCGTGAATGGTCCATGTTAGAGTCAGGTTCCCTCTCCCCCCCTCTTTCTCTCTCTCTCTCTTTCTCTCTGTGTGTTTCTACACACATGGCTGTCATGGTAAGTCTACAGACTTAGAGAAATAGACAAATCCAGTGTGCCCAGGACCTCTTTAGTCCTTTGGTGAGAAAAGCATACAAACTGAGCATTTTTGATATACTAGAGAAAAGCAAGAATGGACTTCATGTCTGAAAAACTGTGCTTTACACTACAATAGCTGTCATTATTTTATTTTCTTAGACTCTGTTTTGTAGAATTAGAAACTTAGAGCTTAGTGTTTTAAAGTACTTAAAGAGAAGTCCTTGTCCACAGAGTTTGGTCAGATTTTACAAATGCAACAGAATGACAGCAAATGATATCGCTCCCTTCTATATACATAAAAGCATCTGGGGCCTCTTGACAGTGGCCATTAAAGGTGGGTGGGGCCTGAGGCCTGTTGCTAGGCTGCCTAAGTGGTGTTGCACCAAGAGGCTGCCTGCCGAGCTTGGTCGCTTAGCAACAGGGACCTCAGTCACAGCATTTTTCTTAATGAAGGTTTTCCACAATTCTTTGTGTGATTACTTTTGTTCAACATCTAGATGCATTCCCTCTGAATTACTGATTTATGCCTCCTGATTAAGTGCAATTTTGCATCAAAATAATTTTGTACAACTTTGTTTAAAGTCTTCACATTTCATTTTCCACAATAACTGCTAGCTGAGTTGGTGGGGCTTCCAAACATTGTTTTTTCCAGCTGTGATTTTATCCATCAGAGTTACTCAATAAACAAAATAGAACCCTATTTAAAGACTTTTTAGGGCATCTCCCTGGAGCACTGCATGTGAGTTAAGTGCTGAGTTCACAGTCCTATGTTCCTTTTAGTCTCAATGTCTGTAACAGAAAACACATCCTTCAAGAGCCTGTCAACCTCAGGATGGACTAGAAAATTTATTATTCCTCATGGTTGGCCAAAAATAATGAGAGCAGAAGTAACTTGATGGGGTGGCTTCCTTGAAGGTTTTCCTGCATGGCATCCAGGACACAATCTAGAGAGTGTTAAAAAAAATCTTTCATGGAAGTTCGAATAGTTGTTTGTCATAATTGAATAAGATTAGCACTGTTTCATCTGTATTGAACTGGCTGGAGAATTCGAACTTCTTCAAAAAGATGCATCAGCATCATAAGGCTTTCCCTAGATATTCCTATGTTTAATTGCACAAGAGTATGTTATTTTTAAAAGTTAAATGTGAAGATTTTCAAAGTAAAATTTGTACCTTGACCCTTTCACAGATAATTTTGTCACAATAAACCTACTCAAGCATTTACAAATTTACATTTCTTTTAGAATTAATATTAAAATAATAGTTGTAGGATACTAAATCACTTTACTTTTGATGCTGGAATTTTTCTTTTTTTCTCCTTTTATAAGAATTCGTACTAGAAGATACATGAACCTACCCTTTCTGTTTCTGTCCATCACAAAAGCAAACACAAAATAAAACCAAGCTAAAAACAAAGACATGGGATCTGAACCACCCTCCTGTATAAGTAACCGCTCTGCTGCTTTCAGTCGTGTTCTGGGCTACCTCTAATTTCTTAGGAGTTTATGTAAACCCTTCTGAATATGTAGTGATTCCTCAAAAATTAGAGGTTTGGGTTGGGGGCTTTTTGTACCATGATTGGTTCTGAATAAAATGTATTTTTCACTCCTTAAATTCTAATCCTGTACCTAAGGACCATTATATAGGCTTGCAATTACACGAATAAAGAAAAGGGGAGATTTCATAGTTGCTGTACTTGCTCTGCAAGCCCTTTGAGGACTTGTGAAATCAGAATCAAATTATAACATTCATAATGAATGTGGTTAGCTTTGTATCAAAACCACCCATAGAACTGTTAAAAATACAGATGCTCTCATCCCACCACAGAGTAAGTCTGGTTTGGTTGTTCTGCACAACTGCACCTGTGTTTTCCAGGAGCTCCCTGTCAGGTTGCAGAAATGTGTTATACCAGAGCTTCCTCGTGCTCCCCCAGATATGGGGGTGGGGATCTGTGTATGTGCGCATGGAACATAACAACATCTCCACACTACGCTACCTGTGTGGTGGCTGTGGAAGTTGTGCTACTTCTCGATCCCCACATTTGTTGAAACTGGACTCTGATTTCTGCAAAGGTTTCAATGATGACAGCAATAAACACATTCTGAAAGAAAACGACATACCACAGTTACCCAACACTGGGAATGAGGAAACAAAAGACATGTAGAACCATCGCAAAATGCAGACGTCATTAGTACAATTTTTCCAGTACCTTAACGAGCCAGGCAAGGAAGAAAATCAAAGTGATGAAGTAGAAGTAGGACCGCCAGCGGGGAAAGCTGTCAATTGCTCTGTACATGAGGAACACCCACCCTTCTTGAGAGGCAGCCTCGTACACAGTGAATATACTGGTGCCTGTCAAGAGGGACCAGATCAAGTTATGGTTGGCTTTGGAAAGAGGAAAAGAGTTTTCAGAGAAACGATATTTGTCCATGCTCATTTTCTCAATAACAAAAGCTCTTCCCTAAAGAGATTAAAATCACACGAGACACTTTATATTGTTTTGATTCTTAGTATTTTGATAAAATTGAGTCTGGCTTCAAGCAAGGGTAATTTCTCTAGAAATAAAATAATTTTATGTATATCCTTACTTGTAGGTGCATCTCACATCAAGGAAAAGTACAGGTATGATTTTTTAAAAAGAATGCATACCCTATAAGCTTGCACTTGGTGCTTAACTTTGAGTATGTTGAAAAGCATCTTCGATAGTTTTAGCCTAAATGAAATCAACCTGAGAGCTGGGTTGCATTTAGGATCACTTTCTCACTGGGGGACTGAAGTATCTCAGGATCCATAAATTAATGTGATGGAGCTGTCTTAAGCTCCATTTGATGATGCTTACTAAGCACCTAGATCATTAGAGTGTGTTTTTAATCTTTAGGGAATACTTTCTCACTGAAAATTCTTCTAAGAAGGAGGAGAATGATGGGGGAGGGTGTAAATGCAACTATGATATGTAAGAACTTTTGTAAATGTTACAATGTACCCCAGTGCAGTGATAATATAATAAAAAATAAAGAGTGGATACATAAAGAAAAAAAATAAAGTTTCAAATACATGGACAGATTTTTTTTTCCTAAAATGCCATGCAGGGAAAAAATAGATTTTATTCTTATAACATTATGAGATAGGGAAACTAAAGCACGTCAAAATTGAGCAACTTGTTCAAGGGTACAAAATAGTGATTATGGCAGCTAGAATTAATCCAGTCATTCTGGAACAAAGTCTGATACATCTGTGAGGACATCCTGCCTCCTGATTGCCTCCTTGTACAGCGCCCCTCGTGCTGTGAGGATTAAATGACAAGTCCTGTAAAGTCTTGGCTTATGGCAAGTGGTTAGGACATTTCAGGTATCATTTTTATTATAAAATGGAAAATTTTACTCAATGCCTTGAACATTTATGAGAAATCTTACAAATAAATATATATTATCAACTTAAAGTTGTCTCTAAAATATAATTTGTTTTGTTATTCATAAAACTGGTAAATAGCTGACCTCAATGAATCTGTTACATTATTGCAAACTATAAGCCAATGTCCACCCACAAATCTTCTAAACACACAGACGTGTACAATTTCAGTGCATATGACCAAATGCCTAAACTAAGAAGGGGGTTGCTCTTGCAGTGGGCCTCATTGTCTCTTGGCCTGTGAGCGCAGGAAGAAGGGTTAGCATCAAGGAACATCAAGGCACACAGAAACAAAGTAGGGATGCCTGCAGGAAACACGCTGCAGATGCAGATAGTGAAAAATGAAGAGGCTTGAAAGCAAAGCTGAGAGAAAGAAGGAAAACATGCCCTGTTTAGTGAAGGCCTATTATGCATTAATGCGTATAACATACTTTATGTAGAATATAACTTCTATATGCATTGACTCTTTTCTGTTTTATAAAATGTATTTTTATTTTTAATGAAGATAACATACTTGTACACATTTACGGAGTATAGTTTGATATCTCAATACATGTATACATTGTGTAATTAGCATATCCATCACCTAAGTTAGCATTCAGAATCTTCTCTATTATCTACTTTGAAATATGGAATTAGTTGTTTTCAACCATAGTTATCCCACTGTACATTAGAAGTTTAGAACATTAGAAGTTTGCTGCTACCTGATTCCACCTCTGTACTCATTAACCATCCCCACATACTTTCCAAGCAATTTGATTTACTTCTATGAGACAAACTTTCGAGCTTCCATGTACAAGTCTCTCATCTTAAAAATAGTTTGTACATTGGTAAGTCATTGCCATAACAGTTGGTATTTGTAAAGCATGTTTAGCTAAGGCTAGCTCTCATTAGGTAGGTGTAGGTGATGAGGTGGGGATGAGGACAGATATTCTCAATCAAATTTCACAGAGAAGGAAGGTGAAGATCACTGGTTGATGAAGGTGCTCAAGGCAGAAAAAAGACAGAACCAGAAACTGAACCCACTTATTAGCTTACGCATCTCAGATTTTTTTTTTTAAACACACTGTATTTTCTCTTGCTTGAGACTTGGGTTTTAAGAGGGGAATATTTTTGATTCTTATTATTTGGATGAAGTTAATTATTTCCTAAAGGACTAAGGCTAAGTTTGTAGCGTATCAGGGAACTCACACAAGAAGATGGCTTTTAAAACAAGGGTTCAGAGAAAAACAGTACATATAAATAATAAAATGCCAATGGAAAGCAGAGGTGACTGTTTCCATTAAAGATTCATTTTACTGCAAATGTACAACACTTCTACTTTTGTGGACTGAATATGAAAGACAATTTTAGCATAAAAGAAATAATTTATGTCCCTTATTTTCTTCTACTTATTGCATAAAAACAGAAAAGTGTATGCAGAACTGCCATTATGAGTCACCATTAAAGTTTAACAGCTTCACCAATTGAATACTTTTAGGTAAAATATGGGGATTGTCAATATAAGATTAAATCTGAGAGGAATATTGAAAGTTATCCTCCCTCCACTTGCCTAGCTCTTTCTTTATTACATCTATAGGGAAGATTTTATTTGGAATTAAGGAAAAAAATTGAAGGTGCAATATGTAATCTTGAAGATTTCACTCTTCTTTTCCTATTTCCACAAAGGGAAAAAGAGAAAGAAGTAGGAACCCACAGTGCAGCTCAAAGAGCGGGGTTTGTTTACACAAAGAGATAAGAAAATTGAGAAAATATAAGTAAAAATTCTGCAGGAAAATGAATGTTGACTGCTGAAAGAAATGTTTCCCATTTATGTGCCTTGCACTAGGTAAAAATGGCTTTGAGGATGTCTCTAACAGCTGCACGGTCAAAGGTAATCGAACATGACAGCCTTTCCTCATCATTTCTCTGCCTCTGGCTTTGCAAAACATCAGAAAAGATCACTCCTGAAAAGATTTTCCAATGGTTGACTAGTATTCAAACATACGAAAATCAAATGCAGGATCCTCTTGTTGTCTGTGGTGAGTGCCCTGAGGAGGAAGGTCTTGCTGCCCAGTCATGCTATACATGTCCTGATGTCTGCCAGCCCCATGTGACTTCCCTCTGACCTTTCAGCAGACTCCTCTTTGGATGTTCAGCTGAACTCAGTTCCTCTCCACTCAGGCCAGACATCCTTATGTTTACCTGGATCATGTCACTTATAACACTGAATTCTGGCACCTCTAGTAGTGTGAGCACTCCCAGGTTAAAACTCTTTCACTTCTGTGCCAGGCACAGAGAAACACTCAAGAACTGTCAATAAAAATAACCACATAGTTTTAGACACAGGCAGGCATTTCTCAAATATTTGCTTTTAAGAAATCAGTTCTTCAAGATGAATATTGTATAGATGATTTGGAAGCAAAAGAAAGTTTTTAATAGTAATTGACACTATGTTTTGTTGACTTTCAAAAAAAATCACTAAATATACACACACATATATATATAAACTTAAAAGCCCGTTACACATAAACTGGAAAGTCTTTATTATTGGATGAAATGTGAGAAAACTTCAGAAAATATTGATTAATAAGAAATATTTTTTCAAAATACAATCCAGAATATTTCTGGTCTACTTTAATTATGGTGCAAAAATTTCTGGCTAAAATGAACACTTTTTTATTAAATGAATAATGATTCTACAATTGTACCTGGGAATATGATATATTCCCTTATTAGAGAACAATGAAGCCTGCTCCAAATCCTTTCCCAGAACCTTAAAGTTGTACAAGAAGCAGCGTCATTAAGAAGATATTCAGCTCATCAGCTCTCCTAATGATGCACAGATGACACATGCAGGAATTTTCAGGTGTTCAGGGTTCTTGGGTCCACTCTGAGAATGAAAGCACAGGCAGACTCCAGCAGTAAAGGTCAGAAAGATTTTATTTGTAGAGAAGAGAAGAGAAAGGCTGCATTGGGGCATGCAGGGGGAACCGGAAACTGGTGGTCCCGTGGGTCAGGTTGGAGATTGGGTTTTATAACCTTTTTTGTGTATTGTCCGAGGGCAGAGATGTCTCTCAGGAGCAGACAAATGTTTCCTGGGAAGGAGAAGTGTCTTCTTGGCCCATTATCACCTTTTGAGACCTCCTGCAGTCTGTCCTTCACTAATTTCATTCATTCTTTCTGATCTCTTTCACAGGGGGTTTAACTTCATGGCATAAGAAGATTGCAATCTAGATGTCAAAGAAAAATGCTGACCTTCAAACTTTCTACTGGCTATCTTCATTGAGACAGACCTGAAACTTGAATAAAATCTTATTCCCATGTGTTCTGATTATCTTTAGGATTATATTTTGCCATCTTCTGCTGACTCCTTTTTTCCATGAAAAATATTCCCAAATGTGTTTTGGGAATATTTTCATTTGTTTCTTCTAGTCATAGGTTGCATATGCACATTAAACATATTTGTGTCATTTGAGACACAAAGTTGTAGTGATAACTAATAAAAGCCTACAAATCTGGGGTCCACCAGTGAATCCCTCTCTAAGTACAAAACATCTTTTGTTCTGGTCTAATCATAGCCACTGTGATTTGGATGTGGCTTGTCCCCCAAGGGTATATATACTGGAGGCTTGGTCCCCAATGTGTCCTTTTTAAGAAGTGATAGAACCTTTAAGAGGTGAGTCTTAGTGCAAGGTAATTAGTCATTGGTGTCCTGGAAGGAAGTTATGTAGTTTTTGTGGGATCCCATTAATTCCCAAGAGAGTGGGTTATCATAAAGAAAGGGATTCTGACTCCTGTGTTGCTCTGGCTTCCTTTCTGACCATGTGATCCCACCCTTTCACAAGTGTTCCCTCCACAATAGCATCTGTCATGTTGTGATGTTTTCAAAGGGGCTGTCTGACCAGATGAAGCCTTTTGTTTATGAGTACCCAACAGACAACAGACTTATAAAATGGTAAGCC